ACGCCTTCTTCCACATTGGATTTGATTACAGTATGGTCAGCGACAATGTGATCCCCAAAACTTTTGGTTTCCAACCTTTTCTGTCCCCCTTTCTTCTTTGCGGGTGGCGCCATCATGCGCGCCTTCTGACAGATTTTGCAAAATGGATTCTTGGGGTAATGGCAAAACTGGTGAGATTTGCTGCATGCCTCTTGCTCAAGGTCAGATGCCTTTCTAGACCTGACGTACTCGGTTTCACTATCATGAGCTACTCCCTCATCCACGCCTTCTTCCTCGGCACCTTCTGCTTTTGCAGCAACCATTGCAAAAAGACGTAACAGATCACAATCTTTCTTGAACTGTCCGCTGTTCAAAACACGACAAGAGCTATCAATAACTGGCACACGGCCGTCTACGTTAAGCTCGATGACTCCCATGTCCGGACGAATGAAGTAAGGCCTACCATCAGCTGGCCACACGAAACTGTAACCCTGTTCCATACACCTGACCCCAACCGAAAGAACAGCAGGAGTTTCCTCGAGAATGTATGGTGAAAATGGCTGATGTAGGGCATCGACCTTTACGTCGGCCACCTCATCCGCTCGTGTCGAACCGTTTGCTGTAGCAAGGCTGATCGGAGTGTCGCTGACACGGCGGTTTGTCGCCTTTGCAGTCTTCAGCATACCCTCACTAAGCAAGTCCTGTTCACTGCCCGTGTCAACCAACCAAACACATCCATCTTTTGATGCCGGTGTAGCAACAGTGGGCAAATGAGTGTTACTGACTTTGTTCTTGGGACCGATCATTGCTCTACAGTGGTTGCATGATATTCCCCCTTCTGGGTCATTGCATCGGAATCGGCATTTGGGCTGCGTCTCACTGCCGAAGAGCTTCACAAGTTCCTGCAACTGTCGGGCCGAAACCTGAGCACGGTGAGCCACGAGTTTGTCGGGTTTTGGCACTGACTCTGAATCAGGGAACGTCTTCTCATAGATTCGGGGTTTGTGCACTACCTTCCTCTGTTCACCTGTTGCTGGGACTTTGATGTATTCCACTTTTGATGAAAACACAATAGCTCTATGGCATTGTTCTTTCATGGCCTTTGTAGCTTTCGGCAACCCTTTTCCCTTTGCTATGCATGCATACCTTTGAGTAATGCATGGCGCAGCTTTTGCACTGGCCTTCTTCTTTGGTGCAGGGCTATTGGTGCGTTTTGGATCCTTTGTGGGTGCAGCTGCAACTTCATGTTTGTAAAAACACTTGTCACCACGACGACATTTGCCCTGTTGAAAGTAAGTGCATGGGATCTTGGCCATCTCTTCCTTCGACTTTCTGTTGGGGGAACCACTTCTGCTACCACCTTTGCCCTTACCCTTCCTTTTGGGGGTACCAGATCTTGAGGAATCTTTGACATGCTTGTAGGGACAGTCTTTACCCTTTTCGCACTTGCCATCCCTGAACTTGTAGCATATTTTATCCCCTTTTCCGCTCTGGCTACGACCACGGGTTCGACCTCGGTCGCCCTTTCCTTTGCCGCGATCTTTGCCCCCCTGAGCGGGTGCAGCGGGCTGAGGCTTTTCGGTCTGCTTGTTCTTTTCAACGATTCTGTTTCTGTTTGAACGGAGTCTTTCTCTATCCAAAAGATCACGAATGTTTCTCAACAAGAATGCATAAGACTTTTGTTCTGACTTTTCAGGAGCTCTGTCAAATGCTTCGATGTCATACTTCATCAATTGACATTTTCGGATTTGTCTGAGTAAGATGTCTCTGAGAACCAAATCATCTGGCGGGGTTTCCATGCCGGCAATTGTGGCGTCCCATCGGTTCAGAAACCTTCTAAGGTCCTCCACAGATTCTCCAGTGCGAACGACTCCAAGTAGGTCCTCGACGCGGTAGAGACTGCCAGCTTCCTCAGACGTCCTGAAGTAATCTTCAAACATCAAAAGGACTCTCCTACCTCTGACTTGGATCCCTTTCTTTGACTTCTCATCTTTGAAGTTATGGATCTTTGTTGCTAAATCACCTTTGGCCGAGCGAGTTAACGCTGCCGACAATTTGGTGTCAAGTGTGATAAATTTCCCAGGTTCCTGCAGCTTTTCCTCCAACTTTTCCCTAGGGGTTTTGTTGTCAAAGACTTCATTGAGCCAAAGCCAAGCCTCATCGGGTTTGTCAGAGCACGACTTCACTTCATCCCTGACATGATTACGCCAGTGACGATATGCTTCTGGGGCAGGCATGTCGTTCAGTTTGATAGTCTCTGCCTCTTTTGTTCGGGGCTTTTCACCATCTGAATCCTTTGAAGTCAGTCTGGTGATGAGATCTAGCAATTGTTGACCTGAAAGACCTAAGCCTGCCTCAGCCGCTTTCTTGCCAGGGTCGCTTGCTATTACTGTAGGACTGGGCACACTATGTTCTTGGTTTGCATCATCATCATTTTGTCTTTGAACTGGCAATGGTGGCAGTTTTGGAGGGGCTGCTGATCCGGCAGGGGTTGTTGAGAACAAGTTGCTCAACCTTTCCTTGGCGTCCATGGCTAAGCTACTCATACCAGTGTTTGGCATGGGTTCTGCTCCAGCCTTAGTACCGACCGCTGATTTTGGGGTCATGTACAAATCGACATTGTTCCCGCCTTGTGAATCATCAACTTCAACGGCTCTGTCGACATTGATTTCCGGGGCGCTGTACTTGTTGAGCTTCTCCATCAAATCCTCCACTTGTCCCTGCAATTGGAAGTTGAGTTCAGCAGCTTGGTTTTCCTGCCTACTGCATTCCTCTCTAATCTCCTGGATTACAGCTTGTTCCTCCTTCTTGAAACCTTCCATGCCATTCTTTGCATACTCCACTGTTTCGTCCACGATTCGTTTACAGTCTGCCTCGAGGCTACCTCTGAGTTCAGAAAACCTTTGTTCGTACTGGGCTGTAACGTGGGCTACCTTTTGGTTGGCTCTTTGTTCAGCTTCCAGTGCAACTGCATTTGCAGCATTCTTCAGCTTTGCGTTTGCATCGCTAAGTTCCTGTCTCAGTTTTGCTACCTCATGCTCAGTTGCCGTTTGGGACATTGAATACTCTGACACTAGGTGTTCATGTCTGCGATCAGCTTCTGCACGTTGATGGGCGATTTCGCTAAGGCAAATTCCCTCAAACTCTTGGTACAGTTGCTGGACCTTTTGTTCCATGAGATGTGTGTGCCTCTCCTCTGCCTCTTGCCTGAAAGCGTCAATGTTACCTTCGTTGATGTAGGTAAGATTGTTCTGCACAAACTGAAAATACGCCTGGACGGGTTGTGTGAAGAAACCTTCATCTACCGACATGGGCGTGGGTGTTGCCCCAGCCGTTACCGGCTGAGACCCAGTCGATGCAGTCGCCAGCGTTCCTGAAGCAGGGACAAGGGCACCTCCACCTGAGGCGTCTCCAGTTGTCCGTTCCATGGCTTTAGAGACTACGGCTGATAACCTGTATTTACAGGTTTCAGCAAGGGTTTATCCTATTAACCCAACTAGACTGATAACCCTAAAACAAGTGAAAGAAACCGCTAAGCTACGCGACTCAGACCCTTTTTCACCTGAGCCGCGAATGCTAGTCAGCATGCTATGATACACCTATGTTTTATATGGGATGCAAATACACTTTGATGTCAAGAAACTCAACAAACACTTGGGTTTGTCTGAACATTTGATGGTTTTCAGTACAAAAACTACAGTTTTGGGGTATCAATTTACTCAACCAGGGCCCAACAAAAGGGATGTCTTAAGCTTCCACTCACCCAGACTCAGCGCTGACTTGTCGTGGCATCGGTGCGAGTACTGGGAGGCAAAGCCAGGAAGCGCGATGGCACAAACGGTGGAAAGGTGAAAGGCAAGATCCGGAGTTGTACAATTTTTTCAGTAGATTGGTTTAGATTTAGGGGAAAATCGTCACTGGACACGCCATGTTTTTTGCCATAAAAAAATATACGGGGTTTCCGGCAAAATTGACCACCAATCCAATGCGTCAAGTGGGATCATGGTCATGGGGATACTTGCAGTAGGAATATATCAATGGTATCATTGGAATAATCCCACCAAACATGCACATGAAATTTGAACATGAATATCGAGGTAAGAAATACATCCTAATTGGGTTTACCCTCTGGTAATTTAACATAACTATGGAAAATCACCATTTATAGTGAATTTTCCCATGAAAAGTCCAGCATGTGGCCACCAACTTCACTGACTGTCCCAAGTGCGCTAGACTTTCCAGCGCGAAGCAGGTCCAAAAGGGGCACAGCAGCACAGCTGGTTGGGTGGTTTTGTGGTTTTCACCATGGTTTGATTTCCCAAGAACTCATTATCATTATACAGTAACTCGTCTGCTTGGTGGTTTCAATCCATCCCCACCAAAATGATAATAATATACCAGTATGTATATATATAAATACATATACCATTATATTATATATATAGTAGTCATTTAATTGAATAGTGATGGGGGCAATCATGCCAACATGTGCCAACTAATATGTATATATATATATATACAAAAAACACATGATGTCAAACATGTTTGAAACAACAAACCCGTCATGAGCTGTTGTTTCTGCAAACCAGTTAGGACGGATGGAACGTTCAAAAATGAGACTAAAACCATGGACCATCTATGGCCTTTTCAATGACCAGCACTTTTGAAGCCTAACAACTCAAGATTAGGAGTCTAACAACTTTTGAACCAGCACTTTTGAAGCCTAACAACTTTTGGCCCTAATGACTAGCACTTTTAAACTGCTGGGAGCCCTTGTTCCTTTTTTGGAGCCAACTATTCCGCTGCCAGGGTCTAAATCTCTGGCGGTGCCCCGTTTTTCAATAGGAACGAAGCGATGGAGTCTATATGTTTAGTGTCCAGTCAGACGTTCAAAGTTATAGTTCAAACCTGGTGCCCTATCTGACCTATATATCTATATATAATATTCATTAATTCATATTCTATAATCTTCTCGTTCCTACATCACAGGATTTGACCAAAACTGGCTGCTTTCCAAGCACCAAGAACATATCCCTTAAAACACCCAGAGGTCTGATCACCACGTTCTCCACCCAGCAGATCTACGTGCGTCACGCGAGGTTCCACCATCACTGCTGTGCGAAGTCAGTCTTATTGAGCTTTACATCCTCGGTAACTTAGTCGATGGTCAGGTTGATCCCCGAGTGTTGGATATTCCGTGACAAGCCCAACATGCAAACAAAAACTGATCCCAAACAAACTACCCTCTGGTAAACTAACATAGCTATTGAAAATGGCCATAGAAATTGTGGATTTACCCATTAAACATGGTGGATCTTTCCATAGCTATGTTAGTCCCAAACAAGCTATACATCTAGCGAGAGGCTCCGGTTCATCCCAGCGCCAATCGAAGTTTCCACCCCGAATGGTGGCCATCCGATCCCTCCCCCCCAATTTTTCACGATCAAATGTCGCAGTTTTTCACCACATCACGATGCAAAAAAAAACCTTGGGCACCATTCTCTATCCACCAATTCGATGTTTTTTCAACCCACATCATTTTTTTTTACTGCTTGTTATGCCCCCCAAACGTCTGCATGTTGTGATACTCGGAAACAAGCATCCAGGAACATGGGCCAAATTCCTTTTCTTGTGCTTCTCAACTTCTCAACAGGCGAAGGGGGATGTAATCATTAAGTGATGAGATGTATTAATGTATATTTATATACAGTATCTACAATTGTTAGCTGAAATATAATGACTAACCAACCATGAAAAAAATGTATGTGTACGAGAATTGTCCTCACTAACCCGATCATCTACAGGGAAGTCCTGTAGAGGACTTAATAATTGACCCGAACCTATATATATATATATACATATGTACATAATATGTACTTAAGGGTACGCATCGATTCCCAAACGATATTCACATCTATACAGTATGTATATATAATGTGTATCTATATATATATATGATATAATTACATTATATCGCTATATAAATATATTCATCATTTTTCATTATTATCAATATCATCAGATTATCATTATTATCATTATCATCATTATTATCATTATCATCATTGTCATTATTATCATTGTCATTATAATTAGATAATATTACTGTCATTGTTATGATATAGTACTGTATATATATATATTTACTAGTTTCTATAATCTTGTTGGTGGTATACCTACCCCTCTGAAAAATATGAGTTCGTCAGTTGGGATGGTTATTCCCAATAAATGGAAAGTCATAAAAGCCATGTTCCAGTCACCACCAATCAAACATATATATATATATGCATATCATCATTATCATTGTCATTATCATTATATATTATTATTGCTATTGTTATGATATAAATATGTACATATTATATATATATATATATTAGTTTCTATTCTTCTTTGTTCTTCTGAGTATTTTGATCATCTTCTGCAGCTCCGCCAAGGCTCGGTGTCAATGACGACGCCCCGTGCCTTCGCCACGTGCAGCATGTCCTTGTCGCCTCGACCGCAGAGATTCACCAGCCTTGGGGCGACCGGGGACGGCGGCACCGGCACCGTTGTTCACAACAAGGGCCACGGCCTGGTTTATTTTAAGGGCCATATGGGCCATATGTCTCTGGTGAAGGTGACATTTTTGATGAACTATGATACTGATATGATACTGATAATAAAGGTTTTTGCTGTTTGATGTTTTGGATTTTTTCAAGGGCTTGTGTTTTTTTTGTTCTCGGTGGTCCATGCATAATGTTTGAGGGAAAGAGTTGGACAGCTGAAACCAAGGCAAAACTGGAAGATCTCACAATCCCCATCTCGACGTGGCGCCACAAAGGTCAAGCGTCAACGACGAAACAATTCATGTCGCCAGGGGTATACACTACATCAACATCATATCAACATCTAATGTATGAGGCACAATCTGTTCAGCCTATCTGAACCTCTAGCTCAAGATCATTCAAGTTGTGCCTTCTTGTGTAATGACTTACAGTACATCGTTCTACTATCACATCTACTATCACTCTACTATCCATCAACCCCATAGCACTTCAAAGATCATCCCAGCATCAACAGTGCCATGTATGCTACTACTCATTTCTACTACCCATCGCCATAACATAGCTACATAAAGTTATAGCTGCCATAGTTATATAAGTTATACCAAGTTCTACCTATTAACACACCCTATCTGCCATATCATATATGAGTTATACATAGTTATCTGGTTGGTCGTTTTAACCATCTTGAAAAATATGAGTTCATCAATGGGAAGGATGACATCCCATATATTGTGGAAAAAAACAGTGTTTGAAACCACCAGCCAGATATACCTACTAATAAGCCAAACTATGCATCACCCAGCGTTCCAAGGAACACGATCTTGTCCTTCGGCAGGGACTTGGCGAACTCCATGGTCTGATGCAACGCGTGACTCGGCTCCAGGGCTGGCACGATGCCTTCTTTCCTGCACAGAATGGAAGTTACAACACACATTCACTTGTACACATTTCATGAACCCAAATGATTTCTAGAAATCAAAAAAATCGATTTATGTCTGGATTTGCACTAATCATGAATCTAAACACACATTTATCATAGCCATTTTGTCATTACTGGCGATGCCTTTAACGTAGCCACGACCGCCGACATCCTGGAGACGGTTCTCATGGCATCTAAGGCTTGCTGGTCCGTGGCGAAGACGTACTCCACGCGACCTGAATGGTCATTTTTCATAGGATGATTGAATCTCCTATATCTATATCTATACAATATCTATATATATATATATATGTATGGCATACAACATCTATGTGTATCCCATATGATTTCATATATAAATGTGTATCCCATACAATATCTGTATATATATATATATATCTAGCCTATCCCACTATGTCCCATATACAAAATGAAATACATAATGTGTATATATATAATATGTATAATATATATATACACTACCCCAGGGTAACCTAACATAGATGTGGAAAACACATTGTTTCCCAGTTGGAAAATGATCTACAAATGGTGGGTTTTCCACACCTATGTTAGTTTACAGAATGGTATATATATATATATGTATGATTGGGTGATATTGGGTTAGTAGGGAAATAAATGGTGATTAATCACTGGATGATATTGTTGCACCAGAACATCCTGGGATCTGTGCAGAATTCCTTTGCTGGCAATGGACTATGCTCCACGTATACATTTAAAGCTCATCAAACATATGGTGTGTCCAGAATTGCCATCTGTATACTGTAGATTCAAGTCAAATCCAGGTACCTGATGTAGTTCTTCACAGCAAACTGGCTGGAACAACGGTTGGTGAATAGCAACGTAAATTATGGCTTATCAAGTTATCATTCTCCGTGAATTAGGTAGTACAATCCTCCTAAATAACTTAGATAGACAACACTCCCAAAATAACTTACAAGTATAAAAACAAGAAACAAATAAACTTAGGCTTCGGTAGTATAACCCCCTTATAACCAACATCCCCAAAACAAATTATAAGTAATTTAAGTAGGAAAACAACGTAACTAGATCAAATCTAGATCAATAAGCTATAGTATACCCTCTGGTAATTTAACATAGCTATTGAAAATGGCCCAGTCGAAATAGTTGATTTACCCAGCTATAAAATGGTGGATTTTTTCAGTTCGCTATGTAAACGTTTACCAGAGGGTAACTGGTTGGTGGTTTGGAACATCAATTGGGTTACTCTATATAGATAATGGATAATATAATGGATATTTCCATGGATTACATGGGTTATACAATGGTTATTACATGGTTTTCTTCCCAACCATGGCCTTTTTTCCTTCACCCGTCCCCGTCGTCCCTCGCCGTTGTGCTGCCGCGGCACCGCAGGCTTTCAGCGAGGCGTGCTGCGGGCCGACGCCCGGGTAGTCCAGGCCCGCGGAGATGGAGTGCGTCTCCTTGATCTGACCTCGGAGAAGGGAGGTTCGAAGGAAAAAACAGGGTGAATTTAGGGGTGAATATATGATATGTCCTCGCTCTATATCTATCTATATTTATCTCTACATATATATATAATGTATATTATATTATATTATATTATATTATATTATATTATGTTATATTATATTATATTATAGTATATTATACTATGTATTATATTTTATCATATTATATTATATTACATTACATTATATTAAATTATATTCTGTTATATTGAATTAAATTATATTATATAATTATATTATATATATATATATCATGATATATCTAGTGTATAGATCATTAATGCATATATCTCTAGGTCTGTCCATGCGTGTAGATGAATATTGATGAAGATATGTTTCAAAGCAAGTCCAAGCGTGGTTTATGGGCGCCATGACATGTCCAAATGGAAGCCCAGACTTGGATTTGCTCAAGATGCTCAAGGGATCATGAACACAAAAACAGGTTCATTTCTCAATTGATTGTTTATCCTCTGGTAATTTAACAGTTCACCATGGAACACTTGCCATCTAATTGGTGGTTCAACCCCCTGAAAAATATGAAAGTCAGATTGGATCATCATCCCAACTATATGGAGAAAATAAAAGCCAGGTTCCAAACCACCAACCAGCCATTAATGTAAGATAATGTAAGTATGCCTCAGCTATTATTTCCACAGCTGGATTTCCAAAGGGTAACCTCTGGGGAACTCGCTGCCCAGGGGACCGTCTGGGGACTGCAAGAGGTAGGTCCGAGAGCCATGCAACACGCCTCTCAAGCTTTAATCCCGCAAAATCCCATGAATTGTCATCTTTTTCCTCAGTATCTATGGCCATTAGTGGGGTTCTTCTCTGCTAAAGTGAAAAGGCCATTTGGAAGCTATACAATTCCAGACCAACCATGACCAACCCATTTTTTCGGGAAGGAAAATCACGATGTGAAACCGCCACGCCTTTTTTTATAGCCTTGCATACTGCATGACATGCCCATTTTCTCAATGAACCCCAAAAATTGACAGAGTTCACTCGCCATTTTGGGCAAAGTCAGCTGCAATCCTCATAATGGCGGGTGAAATATCAACATATATTTTTTTGATTCGGAACTATCCATGAGTATCCCCATTCTTGAGGATTTGTCTGGATATTTCTGGATATCCGCGCCTACGGTCCCCTTGGTCAAGGTAGCCGAGTGCTTGTCCGTATCGGAGCCATCCTGAGGTGCGGTCAATGGGACATCCACTCTGATGGGAATCCGCACGGTGTCCCAAAAAAGCACCTTCTACATGGTCCCAGAGATGTTGGAAAATTCCCTACTAAACCATGGTTTCTGAGTGGTGGACCAATAAATCCCCATAAATCCCCTACTAAACCATGCTTTCTGGGTGGTTTTTCAGGAGAAGGGACGGACATTTCCACCATCGAAAAAGTCTTCGAATGATCTCTGACTTTGCTGGGAAACGTCACCACCGGAATCCAGTGGTTGCGTCATTCCGAGCGTGAGGGCACCGCATGTCATTGGAATTCATCCAGCGATGGTTGGTGATAAATCCCATCTAAATCCCATGAAAGTAATGGTTAACTCCCATTCAATCCCATTAAATCCCATTAAATCCATCTAAATCCCATGAAAGTGATGGTTAACTCCCATTAATTCCCATGAAACTTCGCTCTATCATAGATTATTTTGAACCATAAAACCAGCCTCAAAAGATGGGTACCATAGCTTAGATGAGTGTTGGTAAAGCAATACTAAACCATCCATTGTTTTACCAGAAATGAACGGTATTAAATGTACAAGTATAAACTGGATTCAACATGTTCATTTTTTTGAATCCATCATTGTTTGGAATTGGGGATTAAACAAAACCAATTGTTTGTACAACAAAATATTTCATTTTATTAACATTCATTGAACAAATCCATGGAAAATCATGGAACACCCATCATTTTTTGAAGTTTCATGGTATTTTAATCCCCAATTTTCACATCTTCGGGTGCTGCACATATCGCCCAGGTACTGGCAGCCAGGGGCCATGTTCACCTCCAGCCTCCACACCGATGATTCGCACCTGGAGAGTAGTGAGAATCATCCCACTTAGGAACTGCAACTTATAACTACATACATATATATGTATGTATATATACACACTGTACATATAACCCTTTATAATCTTTTATACCTATGTAATCTATGTATATATATATATATGGAGAATCGTCTAAATAATAGAATCAACTCTTAAAACACAAGGGTTAGAAGCCGGTGTCTAGGTCAGATGATCCTCCAAGTAGCAAAAATAACTATCAGCAACTGCGCGGCCAGTGCATCCCAGGGGCAGAAGCGATTGATACCGATCATCCCAACAATGCGGGGCTGCATACAATGGCAGACTTAATACTGGTTGGTGGTATACCTACCCCTCTGAAACATATGACTTCGTCAGTTGGGATGATGACATTCCTATGATGGGAAAGTCATAATCCAGCCATGTTCCAGTCACCATCCAGTAAAAAATATCCAGGCTTACTAAGCAGTGGAGACAACAACTCTGGGATTGGTGATTTCTCAACAGTGTGAAATCAGGGCCATTGTGGGGACGGTAAGTTTTAGGCCAGGATTGGATCCCAGCAATGAGGACGGTTGGCAAGATGGATGGACCATGGATGGACATATTTCATTTAGATTCATGGTTCGGACTAGGTCATAAGCCCCATGGTTTGTCTAGTTGTAAGTATCAACCATAGATATTGGAGTAGATATGAACCAGCTTTGCTATCTAGGCTATCTAGGCGGGGGCCATGTGGTTATGGTGGGTTTTACAGTTGTACATTCACACCACGTCCGAATTTGTCCTCATATGGTACGGAGATGTCGAACTTGGCTTGTGGATATAGTATGATATAGTGGGATATAGTGGAATGTATGGGATGAGCCATTGAGTTAGTTGACTGGGCCATTGAGTTATAAGTTTCTCCACTTACTGCTCCCAAGTATACATAGCTAAGTAACGAATTCCGTAGCCCACCGAAGTAAATGCATGATATTATTCCATGTACATAAGCAAACATTTAAAAATACATATATCATTATCATGGCCTTTCTAAGACCCCCCGACAAAAAAAACAACTTAGGGGGTACAAGGGCCCATGAATATCAACAATACGTACCTGAAAAAGCACCCATCCAATTGGGAAAATTCCATCCAAAATTCCATCCAAAGTATCCCATTCTCCGAATTTCTCCGACCTCCTTGTCTTCCAAGAAGGCGTTGAACATGCCGATGGCATTGGAGCCGCCACCCACGCACGCCACCACGAGATCCTCGGCGGAGCGTTTTGGACATGTCTTTTAAAAAGGGGACTTGGCATTGACGACAATCATTGGATATGTGTTTTTGTTCATTGGAGAATTTTGGACATACTATGTTTACTATATATAGTATGATACCCTCTGGTACTTAACATAGCTATGGGATAGACTGAGACGTCCCAGCTATAGATGATTACCTCTTTAAAATGCTAATGTTCCAAAGCTACTTTAGATGCCAGAGGGTACAGTGTGTATTCTGCTGCGTCTCGGAATTTCTCAGAGGGATTTGATTTGTGGAGTCAATAGCAACCAACTGGATTCTTCGTAGGTAGTCGGCGCTGAATCAAGATATGATGTTAGGTATGGTGGGATCACCACAGGTTTTTGAAGCAAAACATTGGGGTATGACCGGCATATCTACCGGAAATATTGCACAATGGCAATGGCTGGAGTAGCAAAAATCTACCCTCTGGTACAATGATATCCTCAAACGGGGACCTTTTTTGTTTGGTACCTGTGATTGGTTTGGACGGTTAGGAAAGATGAGACGTGTCAATGTCGCTCAAAGAATCAGTTGGAAAAAGGACATCTAAAGCTTGGGAAGCCCCAATCAAAGAGTATTGATCCTTACCCTCTGGTAATGACTAACATAGCTATTGAAAATGGCCATTTATCTATATTATAGCGAGTTTTCCCATTAAGACTTGTGATTTTCCATAGTTATGTTAGTTTACCAGAGGGTATCTCAATGGATTTGTTCATGGATTTTCCGATGAAATAAATATGCTGGTGTAGGGCATGGTGGTGTATGGTGCTGTCCTGCAACCTGTCCCTTACAGCAATCAATCCATGGATTGTGCTCCACTCAGCCAACTTCGCCATTCAAACAAAACGTGGCGTCTACCATGAATTTAGGGTGATACCAAGGACCATGTCCAATCTTCGATGCATCAGAACGGGCTGTTTTCCGTGGGCCAGCACTCTACTACTTCAACCCATCCGTGCTATAGCGGCTCAATCCATTACTTCCACCCAGTTCTCAACAACCAATCGTATCCAACAGATAAAAAATAATCAGTTCTCATTCATTAACCAATACTATTCAATAGTATCTGTTGGATAATTAGTATCCAATTATTCATTAACCAATAGTATCCATAGTATCCAACAGCATCCAGCTAGGTCATTCATCCTTCACCACTATCCAACAGTATCCACCTAGGTCAAAAAATCATCCAACTTCTGAAACCTTCACATCATCCCCTGCCAGCTGCAGCTCAAGGACCGGCAATCGTCCTGGACCATTGGTGAAGGTGGGATGCCCGAACTCACCACTGGTCTGGTTCAACATCCTGAGTGCCGAGCCGTCTTCAACCATGAAAAATATGGAGGTTTCACTATGGAAAATTGAGGTTTTACATAGTTTGACATGGTTTCAAGCCATGAAATTTTCGGGGGACTTGACCACCAAACATGTGGATATTAACCATCAAACATGGGGGATTAGCCATAAATTGAAGCTTCACAACCGTGAAAAAAGTGGGTTTAGCAAACTAGGGCAATCAGCAGGGCTGGATTGCTCCCTGGCGGCCTCAAATACTGAGGAGATTTTGGTTAAATAAATAGGTAAAATCACCCATATTTCCACCGTTGTTGCCATCATCTACCTATAATAGACCTGACCAGGCTCTTGTACTTCATCAAAAATGAGGGGTGAAATGGGTTAAGCAGTTCCACCATCAATAATGGAGGTTTGACATGGTTTAACCATCCTGATATGTTCTACTTGGCTATAGGGATATTGGTGAAGGTTGGATTCAGAGGGGAGTACCTCAACCCAGGTGTCTGTGCTCGCGCTTCGTTGCCGATGACGCTCTGCAGATCTCGAACGATGTCCTGACGTGACGATGAGCCACTCGGGGTAATGAAGCACAACACGGGATTATAGCAACCCAAAAAAAAGTATCAAAAACAAACAGAAAAGTCAAATCCTAAGGGTTTTCTCATGTTTTCTCTGGCACTGTTGTTAGTGGTTGCTAATTTGCTATATATATATATTTAATATACACCTTTTGATATGGATCAAAACAATGGCACCGCGGCTTTCACAACCTTCAAGGCATACACCCTCATTTGGTCATGGTTGCATCCATCCAAACGCTGTCTCAGGATTCCTTGCCAACCTACTCCCGCAACAAAAGTATTGAAAAACTTTAGAACTCCAAAGCATAGCACTTTTTTAAAGTTCCAACCTGGTTTTTCAAAATGGAGGTATACTAACGGTTTACCATTATGGAAAGATCCACCATTTTATAGCTGGGTAAGTCCACTATTTCTATGGAGCTATACCATTGTATACCCCAAAACTCACCATCCACCCCTTCGGGTTGGCCAAGGGCATGACCAAGTCACCGGGAAGGGGTGGGGTCCCACCGCACTGCCGATGATGTAGTGTGTGGTGCGGATGTTCGTCACCCAGTCGCGCAACGCCTTGAAAGGTTCGGATGGTCATCGCAAACTGACGCGTTTTTTTTAGTACATGTTGAATGATTCATGGTCACATAGTAGATAATTACATATATCATAACATTACTATGCTTTTAGTAATTCATGTTTAATGTCTAGTAATTACTATGTGATTTTCAATGTTTCACCATATGGTCATGGAATAGTCATGGCATCTGCATCATCTCCAGCGCTCCTGGCCTCGTTGACAGCATCCTTCAGCGTGCGGCTGCCGCTCTTCACGGGGACCACGGTGGCACCCAGCTCGCGCATTCCTGGCGTTGTCGCTTCCCTTCAGTGGGCTTCGCAAGTGGTACCTCTGGTAAACAGACAAAAAACTATGGAAAGATCCACCATTTTATAGCTGAGTAAATCAACTATTTCTATGGCCATTTTCAATAGCTATGTTATAGTTTACCAAAGGGTAATCCATGTAATCCATGTAATCCATCCTATATCCATTATCTATATTAAGTACCTAGTAACCCCCGATAGAAGTTAGTGCATTGATAGTGAAATACCGATAAATTGATATAAATTGATACCATTCTATATCCACGATGTATGGGAACCAATTGAAATGTGGAATATCTCAACTTATCCAATTTTGGTGGTTGAGCCACGGCCTTGAAAAAAATGCGAGTGACACAGGAGATCACCGCTACATAGCTCGATTCGAATAAGATGCTCTGATGAGTGGTGTCCTAAAATAGGGCTACCCCAAATCATCCATTTTAGATTGGGATGTTCCATTTATAAACCATCCATTTTGTGGTACCTTCATTTTAGGAAACCTCATAAACATAGTTTGAACTGGATGATGGCTCAAACCAGACTCAAAAACTCAAACTATTGGTGTGAACGGGATTTAGCGTGGGGGATCGTTCACCTTAGATTCCCATCAACCAAGGCGGCAGTTGAACTGATCAGCAGCTGGATTTTATATCAAGTAAACATGTCAGAGGATTTCACAAACTCCAGAAATTGTGCATGAATATTCATAGAGATTTGGGGGGCTGGATCATTCTTTTTCTACACTAAGAGTAGCTCCAAAATTCATTCACGAACACTCAAAAAGACAACTACCCTCTGGTAATGACTAACATAGCTATTGAACATGGCCATAGAAATCATGGATTTTCCCATTGAAAATGGTGATTTTCCATAGTTTTCTGTATGTTTACCAAAGGGTAGTCCATCTGCGGTCATCTTGGGCCTAAAATCTTCACCTGGGGAGCACCAGCTTGAGCTTGGTAGGTGGACAATATTCGAGTGATTCTACCAATTAAATCCAATGATAATCCCGGTATATCTCCACTTCGAATCCCAAAGAGATTGGGATTAGAATTGGACTATCATGACATTCCAAGTATCATGATTATCATTATATTGGGATTATTGGCATATTATTGGGATTATGATGGGATTATCATTTCTTGCTTTAGATGATCCCATCATCCCATGGAATTTTGGGCGGGTTTCCGGCTAGTCATGGGGAAATCCGTCGAAAAAATGGATGAGAACTGGGGGTATCCCCCATGACTTAGGAAACCGCCAAATGTATAGTCTGTATAATATAAATAATTGGTGATACATAATTTTACGGTATATGATAAAGTTTATAATTATGTATCACCAATTATATTATATTATATATTTATTTATTGGTGATCCAAAAAACATACACACCATATAATCCATATATGCATAATATACCACATGATATACCATTATTTTATATATTTATTCATAATTTACCATGTATGATATATATATAATATACAATGTGGGGCCCCCTAGATAACTAAGTTGCTTTATAACTCCCATTTCACTATGGTTTATGATACCTATAACTATAGTATTCATGGGATTTATAAACCAACAAACATAACTGGGTGGCCTCACAATGTACCATGTGTTTAGTACAGTGTGCCATTTATAGTGGATTTACCCATTAAAAGTGATTGTCCATTCAAAAATGTGATTTTCCATAAAATATACCATATAATTTCATTTTTTGGATCCAAGCGTCTGAAGCAGTTCAACTTCTGACGTTCCGTGTCGATCTCACCCATGTAGACCACCTCAGCGAAGGATTTCGGAAACGGCCGACGGATCCATGGATCGGAAACGGTGGCGGTGGTCAAAAGATAGGCAAACATATCGGTATAAAAAGCGGAACAAATGATATATATGTGGTGATTTAGACATGATATATATATATATGGTATATGTATGTATATATATATATATATGACATTGATAGACTATATTAATCTATATATGGTGATTTAGATGGTGATTCTTCACCAAGAATGTACAAAACCAAACGTGTATGGATATCATGGGAGGAAATGGAATGTGCAAGCAACAATGGCTACTACTGTTTCCGCAATTTATGTGGCCATATGTGGCTGCAAAATAAAACTGGGCTGGTGGTTTCCTAGTTATATGTTTAAAATTGTTTAAATCTGTTTCTTACATATTCCCATGTTTGGTGAAACCCAATTGAATTACTGTAATTGTTGAAACTACCAACCAGCAAGTTTTACTGGTTGCAAACCTGCAGTATCCCATTGTGATTCAACCAATTGCTTTTCATCTGGAGGCCACCAATCAATTTCATGTTAGTACTGAATGGTCTATTGGTCAAAATCCACCGAATGAATGCACACTGAATGCTATACGGTGCATTTTTGGGTACCAACATCTACCCCAACATGATATTATCATATGATATGTGAATAAACATTCCAGCACCATGGCACCCTGCAGCAGATGGGCAAATAAGAAACCAACATCCACCAACCAGCAATCTCCATGACATTGCTGCTGGATTAAACCCCACCAGTCGGTAGTTTCCCCGATGCCACTTCCGAACCAAGCCGCACATTCCAGGTCTAAGAGCGCACAGGCAGCTGCCGTGGCCACTCCGTGCTGACCCGCGCCAGTCTCGGCCTTGGCGAAGGAGAAACGGGGATCAGACGTCGGACTTCTGTGCGCGTCGTCATCCAATGTCATAAGAGAAATCCTTACCCTCCGGTAATTTAACATAACTATGGAAAAGAACCATGTATAGTGAATTTTCCCATGAAATATGGTGGATCTTTCCAGTTCGTTATGTAAACGTTTACCAGAGGGTAGTCCATCTGATGATAACCTATGGTTGACATATCTACTGTAGTATTACCAATGGGATGATGATATAAATCCTTAGCCATATGATAACATACTGGTGAATCAAACACCGACCAAAATATGCTCGTCATCTCAATCATCCCAACACATCCCGAAAATTTATGCTTGAAGAAGCTACCGAATATCCCATAGGATCCATGGTGCTGGTATATATGCTAACATTGGGGGTATATTGATGGTAAATGTATGTAAATGTTACCATATATAGCATACATGGATCCTATGGGTATTGAAACATTCAACCAGTACAAAGGGTATAAAGAGAACTCGCTACTGAATTGACAAGTCCCATCTTCCCATCCGGCACTGGCAGGACTAGGTTGATCCAATCCAACTTGACCATGGCACATGTTCCAATTTACCCATGTGGGATGGATGGAAAGGGATAGACATGGAATTTTAAACCTATGAGAACTCAATGGTTGAACCTGCCATGTTGAGATGCTGACAGATCATCCCGTGCGTGGGATAGGAACCATTCTTTCATCAACATGTTGACCTACCATTTACCAGGTTTAATTGGTGTCAAATGGCAATGAATCTGAGGTCTTTATGTTACTCTCCAACTAGTCTGCCGCCACACAATCGAACACCCATCTGAAATGTTGAATTTACCGCAGATTGGTTGGCATTGTTTGGATTTATTCTTAGCCATTTCACTATAGGTATATCCACCAAATCATAAACCGTAATTAATTATTTCAACACTCAACCACTTAGTTTCTTCTTCACACATCCTTTTTCTTCTAACGAAAGGTGATCTCAACCACTCTTCTCAGTGCAGCTTGCCACTGCAAACTCCGAACTTTCTGTGTAGTTGGATCCTATTACTTTCACACATAGTGATTTCTTGAACCGTATTTCAATTTGTAACTATGCACGTACGTAGGTGTAATATGTGTATATAATATGTGTATATAATATTAAATATATATATATGTGAGTGGCGGACAAAATTACTTACTACCCGCAATGGACATTGCCAAAGTGGGTGGTCCCCTATCGGTTGTGAAGGTCTGTACTTCGATGCTATGTAGAAAAATAGGGTATCGGTAAGTGGGTGGTCCCCTATCGGTTGTGAATGTTTTCGCACAAATTTGAACATCCCATGTCCACTCCGACTACTTTAGTTTTCCGCTAATTTTGTCGGTTACTCATATAGTTATATAAGTATATGAATATAATTATATATATACATAAATGGATATGCGCTTACTTCATATATACGTTAAGCCCAACTTTCATCCGCAGCCCGGGGCCCGGACGATGATTCGTTTCTTTCCCAATTTCATGGCCTTGGACGTGAAGGAATGGGGGTTGATCCCCAAGGGATAGCGGTCAATGAAATCTCTGGTGGTTTGCAAAGCCTCGCAGGATATCTGATGATTTCTGATGATTTCTGTAGATACATCATGATATATCAGGATATATCAGGATATATCTACATCAACAAACTTCCAACATCAAAGTTACCAACGGAACGAAGTAGCTTGGGCACCATTTCTCTAGTAGATTCCATGGATTCATAATATATTGGGCTACCCCAAGTTTGAGCACACCCAGATCTTACAGCTAGACCCTCCAGCTCCAGCTGTACTTACCCATTAAAATCGGTCAAATGAACTGTTGGATGGGGCTGCTTTTCTGAAATGATCATCGCTGTGAGATGCTATTGAGGGTCTAAGCACCTTATAGCACCTTAGCTACATTCTCTGCAGTTGTTGTCTGAATCCCTATAATTCATAATTTATCCGTGGACGTCCATCCCCCACACATGGATAAATCGTCGAGTCTGTGTTTTGTATTTCACCATCAG